AGGCTGTCCTCTGACCCTCACATGTCTCGTGGCATGCATGAACAAAAATACAAATCACGCCACACACAATAATAAATAATGTGTAAGTGCCTTATGTGAGTGCTAGAGAGACGGCTCAGCAATGAAGAGCTCTTGATGCTCTTCCAGAGGACCAGAGTTCAAGTCCCAGCAGCCGCTGTGGGGTAGCTCACAAGAGCCTGCAACCCCAGCTCCAGGGGATGTGATGCCTTCTTCTGGTCTCTGCAAGCACCACACACACACACACACACACACACACACACACACACACACACACACACACACACACACATAATAAGATATGTCATTTTTTTAAAAGTTCTTTGAAAAAAGTATTTTCTAGGGTCTGGTGATAAATTGTTATCTCCCAAAGAGACCATAGTATAGACAAAAAAAATTGGAACGCCAGGCCAACTTGCCTTCTAAATTTCCTCGCATCCCTGCCACCGTATAGTTACTACGAATATAACCTCTTAGAAGCAGAATGAGGTTAACAATTTCCAAAGCGACCATTGCAGTTTAGACAGTATTCAGCTACTTTCAAGTGTCTGTAAACAGGGTTGAGTGCTTGCCTGGCACAGGCCGTGGGCTCAACCCCTGATACAACAAATGAATGAGCCAGTGAACAACTGACACCTGCCAGCACCCCAGAGGCCCCACGGTGTCCTACCTGACGATCTCCACTCTGGTAGCACACTCAGACTGCTTCTCTTTCCACTGAGGCTCATCCCAGTCCAGTTCATAGAACACAACCACCAGCGCCGGCACCAGATTCAGATGCTTATTCATCCAGCCGGTCTTTAAGATGCCTTTGGGAATGTACCATTCATATGAAGTTCTCTGCCAACAGTGACAAAGCTGAAGTTACTTCAGAAGAGCAGCAGAAACCACCGCCCGAGCGCCAGGCACCTTGTATGCATATGCTTCACTCACTATACTTACCACCCGTTGCTAAGGCGAGGACGTTCAGTCCATCAGAAGTTAACAATAGCCGTGAGTGTCTAGGTGTTAGAGTAGACATTCAACTGCACACACACACACACACACACACACACACACACACACACACACACACACTCTACCCTTCCCATGGGAGGAAGAACGGCCAAAGCAGAGGCATCCAATAATGCCAAGGATCTCAGTTATGTGTAAGAAGTACTCAGCCTTTTTCCAGGACTATTTCTATTTTCCCCACTCCCTGTTGTAAAATATTGCAACGATCAAAAGTCCACTACAGTTTCATCTGTTTACAGACATACTGCCAGGACAGCATTTCACCTTAACTGTGGATGAAATCAAAATGGTTTAAAAACTTGTGGAACTGAATCTTAACTGCAAAGGTCATGGATTCTATAATGAAATTGGAAATGATGAATGAGTAATGTGAGATCTTTCAGGGAGATTTTGTTAAACTTATGGAGATGTGGGTGTTATTTTAATGAAAAGAAAAGGTAAATAGATGAAAAGGATACTTTCTGCAATACATAGGACTTCCTGAGTTCAATCCTCAGGACCCACATTTTGATAAAATTTTTTAAAAGAAAAAAATGTAGGCTTACAGTATCGGAATTATTGTAACTACTCAGTCCTCTTGAGGTTAGAAATAAGTGTTATTAAACATATGCATATATTCCATAGTACACAAAAATACCTTTTTCCTTAGGCACAACAGTAAACGTTGCCCTGATCAACTTAGGGGTTTCTCAACACACATGATAGGAACAGGGTTGGGAGTATACTGCGGAAAGTACAGAGACTATAAATGAACACATGTGATCCTAATGCCATTACCTTGGATCTACATTTTGGGTATTCATGGTCACCAGGGAGCACTTTGAAAGAAATTGGTACCCGATCAGCTCTCCGATTGGCACAGAAAGCATCCCAAACTGCTCGATGCACCGCATTATAAACTACATCAAGGCCAGTAAGTGTAACAAAAGCCATAGGTCGACAACATAATTCCACAGGGAAGTCCCACTGTGTGGGGCTCATGTTTATGATGTCACAGAAAAATCTGCAATACAAATGTCAAGATATTCATAGTTAATTTAAAAAACCAACATCAATATCTAACATAAACATTACAAAAACACCAAAGGTTCTGCATATACAGTCAAGCAAATAGAAGAGAGTAAAATAAAAATTTTAATTCCTAAATTAGATTTATTAAAATTACTAGTTGCAATGCAGTTCTTTTCTTTTAAATCTCACAAAAAGAAAGGTTGCAAAACTTTTCAGACAAATTTAAAATTTGCTATTTTCAGGTATCTTTCAAAATGTATACCAAAGTGTGGAATGAGCAGGCTAAGAAAGCAGATAAATGATGAAATTAAAATAAGTCTAGCCTGGCATGGTGGCACATACAATCTCAGAAGGCTGAAGCAGGAGAATAAAGCATTCAAGACAGCCTGGTGTAAAATAGTAACTCTGTCTAAAAAGTGGTTTTTAATTTTTTTAATTCAAGCTATGTACCCTGTATCAATAAGATTTTTTAAAAAGTTACTGACTTACATATATAAAAAATCCAAGTTCGTCTGATTCTCTGGAATTGCAAATATCTAATTGCTCAATGCTTAGAATATAATTCAGATACTGTGTACATTATCTAGTAGCTGTTTCCTCAATCTTCATAATATAAGATGATGTAACAGGTAAGGTAAAATCTCTAAAAGAAACTCTACTGATAAGGAGTATAAATGGCTATAGATCATGTTTCTAGTGTGTCCTTTAGCTAAATCTGCAATTGCTGCAGATGTGCCTGACTTTAGAAAGTGATTATATATCTGGGACAGTCGAGACAGTTGAAAAACCAAAAAGAAAGAAAATAATTTTAAAAAGTTCTTATTCCAAACAAAATTACCACTGTTTTTTAAAAATGATTCCTTATTTCCAAAAGGATTTATTATATACTCCTTTAAAGAAGTAATTATCAACATCATATTATACAAAACACAAGGCAATCCCTGGGGAAACTGAACTGTGAAATGACACTCGATTCCTAAAATATGGACCACTTCTAACTGAAAAGTTAATTATCTTTACTAATTTGCTATCAAATGCTTAAGTGCTAAAGGAACTTCCAGTGGGTTTTGAAAAGTGGCATGGAGAGCTTGCCAGAGAAGAGGTATATCTCCAACATAAGCCTGCAGAATTGCTTTAAAAGGCTTATGGGAAGGGTTGTGCTGTGAGGGCAAAGAAATATACTGCTTCTACAGAATTTAGGATAAAGAATGAAATAGCCTAGGAGTGGTCAAAACATAATAGAGCTAACATATTTGCCTAACCCAGTCTAGACAAGTGTGAAAGACCCATTTCCCTTAATAATTCCAGAGACTCAAGAGAAATAGCTGTGGTCCTTGAATATGAAAAGACTTACAAAGTTTTTTAATCAACACTGCCTCAGACAATTATAGTACGAGTCGCATAAATAATGTTAAAATTCCTCGACGTTACATTAGAAGGTATAAGAGAAGCCAGCTCAGAAAGCAAACTCCTGTAAACCCAGCACTCAAGGGGCTGGGGCAGGAAGATTGCTCCAAATTCCACAGTAGCCTGGTCTACAGGGAAGTTTCAGGCCAGCTAGGGCTATGGAGATCTCAATACCCTGCCTCCCCTAAAAAGAAAAGAAGAGAAGAGGATGGGAGGGGAGGAGAGAAGAGAAAGAGAGAGAGGAAAAAAAAAAAAAGAAAGAGAAAAATATGGGAATTTTAGTTATACTCTAACCAAAAAATATATATATATTTTCCAAACATCACAAGTGATCAACGAACTTTTAAAAACCTATCAGTATACTGTCTTCAAACCCTCGTGTGTATTTTATACTCACAGCGCACCTCAGTTCAGACTAGCCGATTTCAAGAGCTCTACAGCCACCCACGGCTACTGCCTACCACGACTGGCAGCGTAGCACATCTGTTCCGACAACATCATGAGAACTGTGTCAGCAACCCCTGCCCCGTACTACTCTACAAGCTTTGGCACTTGCAAATGGTCCTGCTTGCGCCTTGGGTCTCAAAGGGATGGGACAGACCAAGTGCTGACTGAATACATTTCAATGACACACAGGAAAGAAATCGTTTCCTGAAGATAAACGGAGAAAGCAAGCAAACTCCTAACGAGGAGGAGACACGCAGAAGCACAAAGTTAAGACCTCAGCACCAGGTCACCTGGTTATCAGGAAGTAATGTGACAGCTAGCGCAGAAGAGGAACAAGCTAACCCAATCAAAGCGGCTACTAACGAGCAGGTGGACCAGGGAGCAAGAAGACATCGGCTAGTCGGCAAGGATTCAGAGACGCCCAACTGCAAAAAGAAAATAAAGAAAGATCAAACAAAGACCGATCGCTTGATGCATAATTACACCGTAGGGGAAGAGAAGCAACGCAGCCTGAGAAAAGACACCGTCCCCAGGGGCGCAGCATTCGGCTTTGGTAGCTACAACTGGGAAAGGAGAATAAGCTCACAGTCCTAGACACTGGCTCAGTCTTCCTCTACCAGAAATAACCTCTCTCCCTAGAAATGAGCGCGCTCTCCTTTGCAGCTGAAAGAGAAATGCCAAGGTTGCACCCGTGGACGCCGCGGGAAGGCGCAGGCCCCCAAATCAGCCGGGTTGGCCTGGCTCGGAGGGTCTCCGGACCCAACTCACCCAGGCTGCACGCCCTGGGCCCGCTGCAGCTGTGGCGAGTCGCCACCAGCCCCGAGAGGACCGAGAGAGCCAAGCAGGGGCGTCACGGAACGCGGCCACCGAGTTCCGACAGCCCAAGCCCCAGAGCCGGGCGGCAGAAGGCGAGACTTCCTTTTCCCCGCCTCCGCTAGCACAGGAAGCACTTTCTGGGCTTGAGTGACAGTACTCCCAACCAGTCCCGGAACGGAACGGGGTTCCCTGCGCGGAAGGTGCTTCAGTTCCTAGAGGAGGAAGAGTTGGGGGCGGAGAAAGAAGGAGCCAATAGGAGGAGCGATCGTGAGAGGGGCGGGGCCTCCTGGTGACCGCCCCTCAGCGGCTGCTCAGAGGTCTGGGTGTCCTGGGTTCCTGGCCCGCCGCCGACTGCCAGTCGCTTGGCGCCGCCGAGGGTCGGGAGCGCGCGAGCTCGTACCCACGGCTGCGAGGAGGCTTTCCTCGGACCGAGGCTCGGAAGCGGGGTGCTCCGGCCTCCCGCCCGCCGCCCGCCTGTTCTTCGCCGTCGCCAACGCTGCGCGCCCTGCGCGATGGGTGCCAACGAGGACCAGGAGGTGAGAACCCAGGGCCGGACACCCCTGTCCCTGCTCAGGTCCCAACGCGGGGCACCGGGACTCCGCACGTGTCCTTTGCGTTGAGAGCCCTCAAGCCTGGCCACCCGGGTGTCCCACGTTGGCGGATCCCCTGCCAGATGGCACCGGTCAACCGTGAGGCCAGCAAGCGTGAATGAGTCACGTGGGATTCATCCTCCCGTTCCCCCCATTTGTCTTTTTTTTTTTTGCAACCCCGGGGGTATCCCCATATTTCCTTGCTAAGATGAGCGTCCTTGGACCACGACCCTTGTGCACTTGGCTGTCCTTAAATCTCGTGTGTGGCTTATCGCTTAATGTGTAGTTATCCTGTCTTAAAATCTGATCTCCTTTAAGTCTGAAAACCTGTGGTCCTGTAGAGAGGGGTCCAGGAAGTAACATTTCTTGAGGAGGGAAATAAATGACCCTTATGTCTCGGTTTCTGTCCATAATGCTTAGTGAAATCACTTGTCAATCTGTTGTTGAGTGGAAATGAAATGTTTTGAGCATTGTTTTGCTCAAAATTCAACACAATTTTGTATAGTTTGTGCTTTGATTTTTTTTTTGTATTGCAAAATGTTATCTTGATACAGAGTTGGAAGGAATGGATGCTATAAATCATCTGTCATTGAACTTTCTAACTATAATGCGTCCAGATGAGTAAGCTTGGTCTACAGTAGTAGAGTACCCCAGGGTGAATGCGATGGAATACGGAATGATTAGAAGACAAGCGTCCTTGTGTAGTAGTAGATAAGTAGTAATTCACTATTTTGAATACGTTGCTTAAAAGTTAGCATCCTGTCAGTGTGGATGTTAACAAAAGCTCTAGGTTACAAGTCCTCTGTAAAGGACCCCCAAATCCAACAAGTTAATTGCTATCTGAATACCTGCTAAAATATTCTTACCAGTTCAATGAATCTAAAGCATTAATGAATTCAGGGCGGAGAATAGAAAGAGGAAGAGAAATGACTGCTAAGTGGATACAAACTTAACTAGGGAAGAGCAAGATCTGATGTCTTGTCGCACAGTAGCACCACTAGTTTAAAAGTATCATTTGTATTTCAAAATAGAAGAGTTTTGAATGTTTCCTTGAGAAATAAATTTGGATTAAAACTTTGAAGTGATAGATATGTAATTACCCTAATTTGATCATTGTGTGATAGGTACACTTATCAAAGGGCTGCATTGCACCCTATAAACACAATTTTTAAAATAGTTTTATGTATAAGTGTTTTGCCTACATGTGTGTATGTGCACACTTGCATGTCTGGTGCCCACAGAGGGCACAAGAGGGTGTTGGATATCCTAAACTGGAGTTATAGACAGCCATAAACCACCCTGTCTATGCTGAAAATTGAACAAGTTTCTCTGGAAAAGCAACCAGTGTTCTTAATCACTGAGCCATCTCTCCAGCCCTAATAAATACAATTATGTGTCAATTTGGAAACAGTTTCTTTCTCCCAGCAAAGTCCAATGTAACACTTTACCAACTTGGCTGATGGACCACGCCCACCACCACAGGAAGCTGATGCCAGCTCAGACCAAATGAATCGAAATTTCTGGGTAGAACCCAGAAGTCTCTCCATTTTTAACAATAAAATTCTACTCTTCCTCATGATGGGTGTCTGGATTTTTGAAGACAGTTTCCTGCCTAGTTTTGAAGATGCTGGCTTTGAAAAACAAAACAAAACAGTAATCACGTGCTTCCTGTTCTCTTTTCTTCATGTATCCTTTCTTTTCGTTCCTTTGCTTTCCTGAAGTTAAATGTGTGTGAGCAGAGCGTCCGTTTTCTTATGATGAAACTGTAGGATCACACTGTCTTCTGATTTACTGTCAGCCAATGCCCCTTAGTGATGCATAGAAACAGCTTATCTCCCATCCTCTACTTAGATACTTAGGTATTAAATGCAAGGTCTACTTATGCTGTCAAATATTGTCATTAGCTTGATTTTAAAGACTTTTGGGGGGGTTCTTATTCTTTCATCAGCATGATTCATTTTCTCATCACATTATCACCCACACATTTTTGACAAGCCTGTCTCCTCTTTTTGTTCCTGCCCAAGTTGTTAATTAAAATATGGAGAGAGATTTTGGTAGGAATGACACTACATTCTTGAATCCAGTTTGGATTTCTAGGCTTTTCTTTACTATTATTTCGTGTTTCGTTCTGGTCTGTTCGGTAAAGCCTTGCTAAAATCCTAATAGACTGAGTCTGGTGTCTTTCTCTAATGTAGGGAGTTACGCTTGAAAGGATTATTTAGTAATACTTTGTAAGGCTTGTTGGATCCTAAGAATTCTAAACTCTCACAAGTGTCATGTTATAATCTATTCTAAAATTTGTACGTGGAGAACAAGTCAACCTCACCATTTTTTGTCTATGAAATTAATGACATGAGTTAGGCAGTTGTGATGAACACCTTTAATCCCAGGACTCAGGAGGCAGAGGCAGGTGGATCTCCATGAGTTTAAGGCCAACCTGGTCTACAGATGGAGTTCTAGGACAGTCAAGACTGTTTTGGTGTACACAAGTGTCATAAGCGTCTAGAGCCAATAAGTTAAGCATAAATTGTACCGTATTGGTGGGTCATAAGTGTCTAGGGCCAATAAGTTAAGCCATGGTTTTCAGATTTGCATGATTTTGAAAGAGAAACTAAAGACTTTCTCTTTCTAATCCATATATGCCACTAAACAATATCCACTGCTTTTTTTTTTCTTTTCAGATGGAACTAGAAGCTTTACGTTCTATTTATGAAGGAGATGAAAGCTTCCGGGAATTGAGTCCAGTTTCATTTCAATATAGGGTAAGAGATAGCCTGTAGAGCCCATGCGTTTCCGTGCTGGGAAAGAGCTTGTGGAGACTCTGCAGAATCTGTGTCCATCTTCTAACTCAGTGTTAACTTTGCAATATCCCTCTGTTTTCTGAAACTTTTCTTTTTCCAAAATGATTTTTTTTTTTACTTGTATGTGTATATCTGGCATCAAATCCCCTTGAGCTGGAGTTACAGGTAGTTGTAAGCCACCAATGGTGGAAACCAAACCGGGGTCCTCTGGAAGAACAGCATGTGCTCTTAACAACATCGCTCTAGCTTCCTGACACATTTAAATGAAGAGTTTTCACTATGACTTTGTTACTGATAACATTTGAAAACTTAATTCAGAACCATATATATATAACTTTATTATGTGTCTGGATATTTGACGACAAGTATGTCAGCACCACATACATGCCAGGTGCTCACAGAACCCAGAAATGGGCATTGGGTCCCTTGGAACTAGTCATAGACTATTGTGAGCTGCCATGTGGATGTTGGGAAATGAACCCAGGTCTTCTGCAAGGGCAACCAGTGCTCTTAACCACCTAGCCATCTCTCCAGCCTAATTCATATCGTTTTTTTTAAAAATCAATTTTACTTGATTATAAAATTTTAGAGATAAAAAAATCTTAAGTATTACTTGGTGCTGCTTCTTAAAGATAGCTTCCCTGGGTTCTAGCTTCCTAAACTTTTTTTTTTGTTGTTTTGTTTTGTTTTTTTGAGACAGGGTTTCTCTGTGACTTTGGAGGCTGTCCTGGAACTAGTTATTGTAGACCAGGCTGGTCTCTAACTCACAGAGATCCACCTGCCTCTTCCTTCCGAGTGCTGGGATTAAAGGCGTGTGCCACCACCACCTGGCTCCTTCCTAAACTCCTGCCGCAGCTGATGTTGATATATAATCCTCAAATTTGCTTGTATTGTAGACTATAATAGGAAATGAGTTTTTGTTTGTTAAGACAGAGTATCACCATGTAGCCCAGTCTAGCCTTAAATTCTTGATTCTTTTACCTCAGACTCACAAATGTAACTAGGAAATTAATTCTCTACAGCAATGGCGCCCAACCTTCTTAACGCTGTGAACCTTGAACACAGTTCATGTTGTGGTGACCCCCAACCATAAAATTATTTTTGTTACTACTTCATAACTAATTTGCAACTGTTATGACTCATAATGTAAGTATCTATGTTTTCTGATGGTCTTAGACAATCCCTGTATAAAGGATTCTACCCCAAATGGGGTTGGGAACCACTGCTCCATAGCAATTCCCAGTTCTCCAGGCCGACTGTCTTAGTACTGACCCCATCTGTATGACAACTATACTTGTTACTTTACTTGTTGCCATGACAAAATGCCTGACAAAAGCAACTTGAGAGTCAGGCCAGAGACTCGCCAGACGGAACTGGATCCCCAGAGTCCACAGAAAGGTGGAGGGTAGAACCGAGTCTGCCAAGCTGTAGTGCTGTGGGCCCCCACAAATCCCATGCACACAGTGATGACAAATAAGTTTTTTTTTAATGTAAAAGCTTAAGGGAATAAGAGTTTCTTTTGACGCAGTTTGAAAGTACAGTCCATCAGTGGACATCATGGCAAAGGATCCTGTGTGAGGCTGATGCTCATACTGTGCCCAAAGTCAGGAAGCAGAGAGAACACTGATTGCTTCTGCCCACTTCTCTCTCTCCTAACCCCAGCCTGTGGAGTCTCGTCCACATCAGGGTAGGCCTCCCCACCTCAGTTAACCTAATGCAGAAAGTCCTTCACAGACATGCCCAGAGGTTGGTTTCTATGGTGATTCTAATTCCCATCAAGTTGGCAACATCAACCATCACAACTAATGAACTCTTGATGGCCAACGTTCTTGATGGAATTAAGACCTGAGCCCTTCTAGTTAAATCCAATTGCCTTCTGAGATTTTTTCCCAGCCACTGCCACTTTACCAGAGAATTCCCATGTTTTCCTACATGTCTCCAGTGACAACATCAGTTATTTATTGAGCACAATATGCAGAATGGTGAGAGACTGTGCCAACAGTCAGAGGAGGAGAGCCAGGGATATGCCCCGCTGGACCCTCTGTTCTTGAATAGTTTAGTCAGCTCCTAAATGACTTCCCTGCCTCCATGTCTTTCACTAGCTTCCCTCTTACACTGAATCACGAGTTCAACAAACTGCTAGTTAGCAGTCTGAAACATTTAAGTAGCTCTGTAATAACCTGTTTCTTCCTGGGCTTCTCTTGCCCTTAGACTGATGGCTGTATTCTTAGCTCTATGACCAATATCCACTTAAAAATTATTTATTTTTATTTTGTATATGCAAGTGTTTGGCTTGGATGTATTGTGTGTATGTGCATCGTGTGTGTGTGTGTGTGTGTGTGTGTGTGTCTGGTACTCTTTTTTTTTGTTTTTTTTGTTTTTGTTTTGTTTTGTTTTTTGTTGTTGTTGTTGTTTTTCGAGACAGGGTTTCTCTGTATTGTTTTGGAGCCTGTCCTGGAACTCGCTCGGTAGACCAGACTGGTCTCGAACTCACAGAGATCCACCTGCCTCTGCCTCCCCAGTGCTGGGATTAAAGGTGTGCGCCAACAATGCCCGGCTGTGTCTGGTACTCTTAGAGGCTCAAAGTTGTAAGCTGCTGTGGGGAGTTTGGGGAACGCGGCCCCAGTGCTCTGCAATACAGGCAAGCGCTTGTAACACCTAAGCCAGCTCTCCAGCCACTCCAAGTCCTCTTTTGGTCCTGAACTACCTCTAGAAGACTTTGTCAAACTTCAGTAAGCACAAGGGATTCATAAAAGATCTGTTCAGTATCTTTCCCCCCTTTAATGATTGTCTCTGGATACATTGTAACTCTTTTTTCACCTCTCATTTCTTATCTACCTGGCTTCTCTAAGATCTGAGTCAGCCTTGTTGTAATTTAAGAAAAGGGTGCTCGAGAGAAAGGCACCATGGGACAGGGTTCAAGCTGAGGCTTTTTATTAGGGAAAGGGATCATAAAAGGGGAAAGGAAGGGGGAGAGATGGCCTCCAGAGACAGGAACAGCAGGAGAGAGGAGAGAGCAAAGGGGGAGAGAGGGGGGAACAGACAGGGAGAAAAAGAAAGAGAAGGGTGGGAGGTCTTTTAAAGGGAACACAGTGAATGTGCACAGGTGGTGCTCTTAGTGACTGCAGCTGAGGGCATTTCCTGTCAGAACCCCAAGGACAGAACAGTACAGATGCCTGAATACTAACATCCCTCCCTTTTTATTTATTATCAAAAGGTGAGGAGTTAGAAAGGGGTAGCAGGTAAGGGGGGGATGAGGTTGCCATGCTCTCAAGACTACTTCCTACTGACCTGGGGGCCATCACTCATTTTTGGGGGACCTGGGAGAGCTGGGGTGCTAGCCACGTCCTGGAGTAGCTGGCTGTTTCCCTTCACTGTCCAGACTCCATATAACCATCAGGTGCCTCCTGGGCCTGGCAAAATGTGGTCCTTGGTGGATCCGAATTGACTCCCTAGGGCTTAAAGCACTTGATCTTTCCCATCACCTCAGCATCACCCAGACATGTTTGGTATCCTTGCGCCTCCGGCTCTGTGGCCAACAGCTGCTGGTCCTGCAACAATAGCTGGCTCCGAATGGTCAGTGGCTCTCCCAAAAACACCCCAATGGAAGCAAGGAGGCATAGACAATAACACAGCTCCCGAGGAATTCAGAAAGGGTCGATTTCTAGACAGGCACAAGCCACCCAGTGAATTGTCACTCAAAGGGTGGGGGCCAAGGGCCCTGAGCCTGAGGGAGACACAGTCGCCTGGTACCAGGACTTTGAGAAGAGCCGGAAGTCAAGGAAAGGAAGAACTGTGCTCAAGAGAGGAAGCCTCACATCCAGGGGAATGATCAGAAGTGGATACCCCCACCAGAGAAATAAATGTAAAATAATTTACATTCTGCCCATGTTCTCACCCTCTTACCTTCAGCTACGTTCTGTACCAATGTAAGCTGAGACACAGAAGCAGCATCCAATACATTTAGGAACCTTTTGACACGTCAGTGTGAGTCAGTCACAGGTGTGTGTGTGTGTGTGTGTGTGTGTGTGTGTGTGTGTGTGTGTTCGAGGTATACACATGTATACCACAGCACTTGTTAAGTTGGTTTTCCCCTTCCACTCGTGGGCTCTGGGGATCAAACTCAGGTCATCAGGCTTGACAGCAAGTGACTTCTCCCCCTACCCCCCCCCCCACCGTACCCCCAGCTGTCTCTTAGGCCCCTGAAGTGAAAAGCTTTATTCAGGCAAGCATTATTAACAGATGTTAACGTCTCTAGGCAAAGGTTGCTAAGAAACAGGGTAGTGACGTAGTTCTGTGTTATTGCTGCACAGATTTTCTTTATTACCTCTACACTGAAGAAATTATTCCCAGTGGTGAATCCGGATGGATGCCCGTGAGCTACCACACCACCTCTCCTCACAAAATGATCCATGTGAATCTGAACAGAGGAAGTAGTTGTCTACATTTGGGGATGTTAGTCAGAAAAACTGACCTAGACTCTTAATGTCATAAAAGACTTAAAAAGCCAGGGAGAAGGGTCTACTAAGGTAGACTAAAGAAGCATGACAACCAAATATAGTAAAGCTTTAGTGAATTTTAGATTTCTGGGGTGGGAGTGGCATTTATTAAAGGACACCTTAGGTAGGTCAGGGGATTTGCAATATAAATTATATATTAGATTAGTTTTTTTATATCAATGTTGAATTCTTGGGGGTGGGATGGTTGTCCTGAGGCTAGAAAAGATATCCAAAGGATTTTCTTCACCCCTAAATAACTAGACATTTCATTATTTCCAAATGCTTTAAAAAAATCCAAAGTGGGAAAAACCATACATGTTACAGGCGTAGATAAGGAAACGAGACGGGTGTTTATAAATACATATCAGTGATATTTATCATGCCAGTTTAGCTTTTTATGGTTAATTTTGTTTTGTGGCTTGGTTTGGTTTTTGTTGTTGTTGTTTTTGTTTTTGTTTTTTGAGACAGGATTTCTCTGTGGCTTTGGAGCCTGTCCTGGAACTCTGTAGAAGGTTGACAAAACGGAACTGTTCTTACCAGGAATTGCTCTGGGCCCTGAGGCATCTTCTCCCAGTGTTACACTCCGTTTCTGGTCTCTTGCCACTTGAACAGCTTGTATCAGTTTCCCTGTTCTTTTCTCCTGTGGCAGTTTAGCAGTTGGAAATCTTTAAGACAAGCTGTTACAAGTTTGTGGATAATTATTTTTGTCCATTTCGGTCTTTTGTTTCAATTTTGATACATGGTTTCTCTGTGTAGCTCTGTAGACCAGGCTGGACTCAAAGCTCAGAGATTCACCTGCCTCTGCCTCCCAGTGTGACCACACCCAGCTCCATTGGCATTGGCATCTTGTTCCTTGTAGTTGAGGCCTTATCTTCTTCACCCTCAGAAACAAAAAATGGAAAGTGTATCCTTGGCATTGAAAAGCTGATTGAGGATTGGGCGGTCAGCAGTAATGCAGCCTGAAGCAGGACTGGACTAAAGTTGAAGCTGCCTGTACTCCCCTCCTCCTTGGTCGTTCCTACCCCAATACCTCTGAGCTTCTCGGAATATTATGCTTCTGAGTGTGAACATGAATGCTGGAAGGAGTCATTTTGAAGATAGTTATTTAGGACTTTTGATTACTTTCCTCAAGCCTAAGATTCCCTTTTCTTCAGATAGGTGAAGATGGTGATCCCAAAGCCTTCCTAATAGAGATTTCCTGGACAGAGACATATCCCCAGACGCCTCCTGTCATATCTATGAACGCTTTTTTTAACAACACCATGTGAGTAGCTTTGTTTTCATTGTTCTGTCATTGTCTTCTGTTTCACTTACCCTTGACAGTTTGATTCCTCTGCATTACAGCTCTTCAGCTGTGAAACAGAGTATCTTAGCCAAACTACAGGAAGCAGTAGAAGTGAACCTTGGCACTGCCATGACCTACACATTGTTCGAATACGCTAAGGACAACAAAGAGCAGTTCATGGAGAACCACCATCCCGGGAATTCTACACCAGTGAGTGTGTGGTTGATTCTGCCAGGTGGTTTTGGTCTGGGCTTGTTAATTAATTTTTGCTGCTTGGTTTTGGTTTTGTTTTGAAAATTAGAAGACTTTGCATTAGATTTAAACAGAGAATTACATTTGAGTTAAGTAAGAACAATGAATCTTAGATTCCCTCTATTTAATGGGGAAAATGAAATTATGTTCTGTCAACTTTTACCCGTCAGCAAAGATTGAAATACTTCTAACCATTAAAAGTGAAGCTAGGTGTGGTGGTGTACACCTTTAATCCTGGCACTGGGAAGCAAGGGCAGGCCTGTGATTTCAAGACCAGCTTAGGCTACATTGTAAGATTCTGCAGAAAGGAAGGAAGAGACTGTAGATGAATATATAACAGTACACAGGATAAGGATGTTGTTGGTTATTTTTTTGTTTTGTTTTGTTTTGTTTTATGAGACAGGGTTTCTCTGTATTGTTTTGGAGGCTGTCGGTCCAGCCTGGCCTCAGACTCACAGAGATCCGCCTGCCTCTGCCTCCCAAGTGCTGGGATTAAAGGCGTGCACCACCACCACCCGGCTGTTGTTGGTTATTTTTTGTGGGAAATTACTTACACAAGAAACTGAAAACCCAGGTTAGTCTCTGCAGCCTTTTGAGACCTGACCAGAACCCCGAAAGAGAGACTGAGCCCCTCTCCTCAGCCCTGGATACCATCAAAGCTGATCAAGATTCGGTTCAAACAGGAGAAACCTCAGGATGAGGAAAAATGATAGATCATCCACCAAGTTATATACCACGAATTGCATTGAAACCTCACAAAGAAAAGGTTCCCATGATGTTATCATCATCCCATTTCAGCAGGAAATAGTTCTAAGAACAGTGCCCTTCTTCCCTACTGTTGATACTAAGGGATAATTTACACCTGTTTAGGGTTGATTTTCAATTGCTTAGGATTGAGTTTGGAAAGAGGTGTTCAGACTTGGGTATCTCTTTCAGATAAGTTTAAGGTTTGGATGGGATAGAAATGCTTAGGATGGGATATAGATAGATTATTATATCTTCTTATGATTTACCTCAGTGATTATTAGCTATGGACAACTTACATAGTTATAGATTCTTGTATGATGTAACGATCAAGTTGTATTCCTCTCTTGAATAATTTGTATATCACAATTTTGTCAGACCGTGTAAGGTTTCCTTTCTTTTTATGATGTTTGGTGCATAAATATCCTTATCATCTTCTATGTTTATATGCTTTTACATATATTTAAGACATTTTGTATATTGACACAATTTAGTTTTGTTTCAAGTGTAAACCTTTTCTTTAGACTAAAAGGGGAATTGTAGGGAGAGATCTAGGTACCTGTGGTGCTGACCACGCCCATTTTGGGTGTGGCCACGGGTGCCTGCTCATAAGGGAGCTTGGCTATAGAATGAGCCGATAGGAAAGCTTTTTACTATTTCTTTGGCTTGTTGCCAAGTGATGGAAAAATCCTTTTTTAACCCTTTGCTATTTACATGGTGTTTATAATGAAATTCGGAGGCCTCTAGCACACTTCCTATTAATAAACGATCAGTCTCCTCATTGCCTTGTGCTAGAGGACCTGGTAGACCCGTACGGGATCTGATGTGTGTTATATACAGAATGAGTCCTATTCCTGATTGTTTCTTGTGATTGTATAAACATTGAAGATAATTTCATATTGTCAGGAATTAATTTGGCGGTCTCAATGTGTAAGATGACTCTCTCTGCTTATTGGGCGTCAGTAACTATATTGAGAGGCTCTGTAAAATCCATTAAGTACCATGACAGTGGTGTGCAATTCTGCCTTTTGTTCGGAGTTATAAGGACTTTGAACTACTTTACTTATCAAGATCTGTGAGGGATGTGTGGTTTTTCTAAAGCTCAGTGATCTCGACAATTTTATTGGAACCTCAGGTCTTCAATATGATGTAGGCAATCAGACTTCCTGCTCAGGGTCCCATTCAACTGCACTTTTGAATGCTGTGTCCTTGAAAAAGAGCCTCTGTGAGAGTGAGGCCAGTGACGCATGAGCACACCCGACTGAATAAGTGACAGCAGCAGTGACACCTTTCATTTTGTACAGTTAGAGACCCACCGCTCCCTTCGAGATGTCTAATCCAAGACCTTTTTCTGTTCTTGTAGACACCCGCAAACAATATCGTCTCGGTTGAAACTCCCAGCACAGCCCCCTCAAGTAAGAAAAAAGACAAGAAAGAGCAACTTTCCAAAGCTCAGAAACGCAAGCTGGCAGATAAAACAGGTGTGCACTGTTCTTTGTCTTTCTTAGCACAGGGTGTGGGTCGATGTGGGCGCGTGTGTTTACAGAATTAACTCTTCAGCCTATTCTTGAAACATTCAAAGCAGAGGCCTGTTGGTCACAATAGAAAAAAACTGTATTTATTGCTATTTCGTCAGGAGATCATCATTTGGAAAAAGGAAAATGAGTCACAAAGTAATTATAAACATTCCCACTGAGGAACACTAGAAAAATGGACAGAACACGTGTCCTGCCTGAACATTGTAATGTTGTCTGGGATTTTATGTACCTGTGTGACAAGTGTGTGTTTTAAAAGCTGTGTGAAATGTGGTTTTCACTTGCAATCTGGTGCACCGTTCCCATCTTAGCACAGTAATTTCATATTTTTTGCCTATAGTTAATTTAATTACACAGTAAGATTTCAGAGAAGAATTCCCAGTGTCTGATAACAGACTTCTCAGAAAAGGGTTATAAACCCCAGCTGGATCAACGGTGATGTTTGCTCCTTTTTCTCTAACTTGGAAATTTGCAAGTGGACATCAGTCTGAATTTTCCCAATTTGGGAAAAAGAGAACATTGTTGTGTGTACCCAGACATTTACATAGAGGGGTGTGTGTGTGTGTGTGTGTGCGTGCGGGCACTCGTGCGCGTGCACACTTCTCATGGAGGCTCAAAAAAGGGGTTGGATGCCCTAAACCTGGAATTGCAGGATGCTGTGTGATGTGGGTGCTGGGAACCTGTCTCTGGTCCTGGAAGGGCAGCAGGTGCTCGTAACTGCCGGGTCATCTCTTTAGCCCCTGCCTTTTTTTTTTTTTTAATAAAGGGATAATAGGTTTATTTTTGTTTAACATCTGTCAGTGGTAAAATGAAAAGAAACCAACACTGTGTTGGTCCTCCTAAAGAACATTTTGAAATTCTAACTGTGGTATAAAAGTCTCTGCATAGTTCACCTCATGTCAGGCAGCAGTAAAGGATAGACAACTGAAGTAAAAACTTTTAGCCATTGCAGCCTGTTTTCTAGAGTTTTGGTGATTGTCGTTCTGGAATATTGTAGCATCTGTGTGAGATGCCTCTTACTGCCATGCCTCATGGCCTGTGGTCGTGTTCATTTAATAATGTCTCCCCACCCTGCCTCTTTGATGATGCCCTGCTGCAGCCTAATCTCCCTAAGATGGCAATGTAGGAGTTTGTGACTGAGAACTTACATTCTAAATAAAACTTTAATGGGATAGCCTGGGCGTCCACACTAATGGTCCAACCGTGTGCCCTCATAACCTGTGACATAAGATTCTTGCTGGTTTGAAAGAGAGCGGAACCATTGGCATCTGGAATGGGACTCCTATGAAAATTGACTCTGTGAAAACCATTAGTTTCTGATTGCTTTGCTGGACAGTTAATACAGGTGAATATCCTTTATCCACATGCTTGGGACCAGAAGTGTTTGGAATTCAGAGCCTTCCAGATTCAGGAAATTTTCATAGTTTCCGTTGCCAGCCACAAGTCAAGATCTAAAATGTTCCAAAATCTAAAACTACCCAAAAAGATTCAGATTTTGGAGCATTTTTTTCAGATCTGCATAGTACTTGTTTCAAATGTAAATTTTTTAAGGCTTCATAAAATAATATATGCAGCCTACATGAAGAATAAGGGAAGCCAAGCCGTTTGAAATAGAAGAATTACTGTTACTATATTTTAAGTTTTATTTATTTTGTGCACATACATGTCGGTGTGGGCACATGTGTACCATGGCATATGTGTGGAGATGAGGGGACAATGTTGGGGTCAGCCCAGGGATTGAACCCAAGTGGTCAGGCTTGGCAGCATGTCGCTTCATCTGTTGGACCATCTTGTTGCCCTAATATTGAAGAATTCTTAAGTAAAATGTTTATTTGTTAAATATTTCCTTAAATTTGAATATCAGGCTGAAAGCGTAAACTTTGCATTTTTATCTGAGTCCTTATGAGCTTCGTCCCAAGCATTCTCTAGAGAGCAGTGGTTCTCAGCCTTCCTAATGCTACCTCCTCTTATCTAGTTCTTCATGTCGGAGTGACCTCCCCAACTGAAAAATTATTTTGTTACTACTTCCATTTTGCTCCTGGTATGAATCATAACATAAATATTTAATGTGCAGGATATCTGATATGTGTGTGGGGGTCGAGACCTGCATGTTGAGAACCACAGCAATTGAGTGAAGTTCCTTTTGAAATATATATTTTATCAGAGTATGGCCAATCTGTCCATAAACTAACCTGCACTCCTCTTAGTCCTGAAGCCAAACGTTTGTCAGTACCGTCTCGCCTATTTGGACCCAAGTGCCGTGGTGTGATTCCTGAAACAGTGAGCTAGCACAATTTCTCACTCAGATAAGCCTTGGCCTTAGAGGAAAAAGGACTCTGCACCTGCGAGGGAGCAGTATGTCAGCCACACCCCTCATTTTTCCTTTTAACAGGTTTTGTCTTGAGTGGGTGTGGAGTAAGTGTTAAAGGGGCGCATCTCAAATACTCTGCAGGTTTCTCCAGGATGCTGCTTTAAGGTCACCAAGATAATGAGAAACTGCTTCTTGCAACTTAGTAGCATGTAATGCACACTTTCCATCTACTTGGTGTATACAATAGTATAAAAATGCCATTTCCTAAGATATCAGTTCATTTACAAAAGAGCTGTCAGTCTCACTAAAGTTACTGATTTTGTCCTCTAGATCACAAAGGAGAGCTCCCTCGAGGCTGGAACTGGGTTGATGTCGTGAAGGTATAGCATACTTACATTCAAGTCTTCAAAGCTGTTATAGTTATTGCCATCAAATAACAAAATGTCTGTTTTCCATTTTCCTTCTTGCCTCCTTTGTTATGGCCCGGATGTCTGTTTACATGTTTGGACTCAGCATGTAAGTATTCTCGAAACCTTCACGTTCTCTGCTTCCTCAGGTTAGATGTTCTTACCAGTAAGCTTGCTCTCACCCCTCTGCTGCAATGTCCTCCCTGGGTCAGCTCCACTGAGCTGCAGAACAGATGTATGCCGACCCAGCCATCTCCTGTTGAGCCGGGTCATAAAGAGATCTGCAGAAGTGGAAAGCCAGCACCATGCTAAGTCTCTTTTCAGGAAATGTAGTTATTATTGAGGGTCTAGAGAAGTGGTTCATTCATTAAGGGGCCTGCTGTGCGAGCATGAGGCCCCAAGTTTAGATTTCCAGCACCCACATAAAAGGCTGGGTTCAGTGGCCTGCATCTGGGGGGCTCAGAAACAGGCTAATCCAGGACTCATTACCCAGAAAACCTAGCTAAATTAACAAGCTCTAAGTTTTGTGAGAGGCCATGTCTCAAAACATAATGTGGAAATCAAGAAAGGCAAGACATCTGGCATCCATGTACACAAGCTCACACAAACATGTTCATACATGTTCATACATGATGTATGTAAACACACAAAAACAGTGGTTGGGTTGCTGTATGATATTTTATTGTTAGTTTTATATGAATAAACATTAGTTTTAAATCTAAATGCAGCAGCTATAGCCCATGTTAAAAACAGTGAGTCCTTAATATCTTTAGTTGTCTAACAAAATCCATGTTTAGAAACTGTTACCTCTCTTAGCTCCTGCTTTCCATGGCTTCCCACATTCTTTTCCAAGATCATTTTACTTCATTTATTTGTGTGTACACAAATGCTGCAGCGTGGATGTGGAGGTCAGAGAGCAACTTGGAAGGGTTGGCTGTCTCCTTCCACCATGTGGATCTGGAAGATTAAGCCCGGATTGTCAGGCTTAGCCATTTCCCTAGCCTTTGATGAGTGTGCACCTATTGGTACACGCACCATGTGTAGGTGCCTGTGAAGGCCACAAGGATGTGTCACATCCCCTGGAACTGGAGTTAGAGTTAGTTGTGGGCTGCACAGTGTGGGTTTTGGGACCTGAACACGAGTCTTCCACAAGAGCAACAAGGGCTCTTAGACACAGAGCCGCCTTTGCAGACCTACCTTCCACAGTCTTAGTTATTGGGTGCAGAATGGCTGTCTTAGTTAGGGTTTCTATTGCTGTGAGGAGACACCATGGCCCCTGCAGCTCTTAATAAAGGAAAGCATTTAGTTACACTGGCTTAAGTGTCGGATTCAGTCCATTATCGTCATGGCAGGGCATGGTGGCATGCAGGCAGACATGGCGCTGGAAAGACAGCTGAGAGTTGACATCTGCATCCTCGGGCAGCAGCAGAAGACTTTGCCACAACGGGCGTAGCTTGAGCATATGAAATCTCAAAGCCTGCCTCCACAGTGACACACTTCCTTCATCAAAGCCACACCTACTCCAACACACCACACCTAAGAGTGTCACTCCCTATGGGCCTGTGGGGGCCATTTTCTTCCAAACCACCACAGTGGTTGTCCTAATCAGGATCATGTTTGTGTTGTTCGAGAATTAATCTGCTTCCTTCCCAAATTTGTCAACTCTTTACAAAGATTTTTTCCAGAAAAAAAAAACAGCAAACTCAAAATTTGTTGAATTATGGCTTCACACTTAAAAATAGTTTAAGAGTTTGTTATCTGTAAGGCATATTGTTTTATCATAGCAATTATTTTTAATTATTAAAGAGATTGTCTATTCACACAAACACATAAGAACAAGCATAGCACACACACACATTACATGCACACATTAAAAAGACTCTAAATTTAGAAAAGAGTTTATCTTCTGGTCTGGGGTTATAAGGCCTCACCACACACATACGTACACATTACAGGTAAAGGCACTTGCTGTTATACCTGATGACCAGATTTCAGTCCCCAGCTCCCACTTATAGAAGAAAAGAACTGACTCATACAAGATGTCCTCTCACCTCCACAGACACCTGGGGACACTCACAAACACTCATGTGTGCATGTTGACACACATACACACAATAAATGTGAAAATTTATTATCTGTCAGTGTCATGCTTTGTTAAGACCTCCGGTACGGACAACTGAGTCAGACTGCCTTGGGTCTGAAGCCATTCCTGTGCTTGACAGCTGAGTGCCTCGAGGCAAGTTACCCAACCTCTGTCTCAGTGCCCACACTTCTAATAAACTGTGATAGAGAATAAAGTTCATATTGAGTTAATATGCATTCATCAAAACACTTAGAATAGCACTAGTTACAAAGAAAGCACTAGACGTTATGGTAGCATGATTCATAGAATATTATCCGTAAAAAGTATGCCTGGGTGAAAAAAAGAAGACTGCTGATAGAAAGGTAAAATAGAAGAATGTCAGTCATTTCACAAACATGCCTCCTATAAAGAATCTGCATGGATCTGCATTCTTAGAAAACTGCAAGGGATAATCCCCCACCCGGCCTTATTCTGTTGGACAGGTTTTGGAGTATTTTTAACCCTGTTAGAAGTAACATGGCCTAGAGGTGTAAAGTAGTTACATGTAGAAACATTTACAGTTTAAGCCCCAGGACGTGAACTTCATTTCCTACTGTGTGCTTATTTACTTTTTGATTCTGATAGAAACAATGACTCAGACGATGTCATTGCTTCCACTTAATACCGGTGTCTTTTTTTTTTTTCTTAACAGTTAAGCAAAACTGGCTCTAAAGACGATGAGTAGCACCTGCAGTCAAAGCAAAAGCATCTTGAAAAGCAGCCCAGATCAACACGTCTCCTTACTTTTCCTGGTACTGAGTGGCTTTTTACAAGACATAATGCTTTTGTATGTGTCTATAAAAATAGCAATGAAGAGTCCACGAAGAGCTTTGGTTGTAGTAAATTATTTTCACAAACTTGTCTTAATAAAAGGTGAAAGTGCATCCGTTTAGAGTACTTTCTGAGGCTGTTGAGCATCATCGGCAGTAGATAGCTCTGCGGAGTGAGCTGGGGGTGACTTAGCCATCTGATCCAAGGGATGGGATCGTTTTAAAGGCCAACAAAGCTACTTGCACACTGTCAGTTCAGTAGCGCCCTGTACGGACTCTCTGGTATCCCATGGCATGACCCATGACTATAGGCGTCTCCCCTTAAGTCACCACCACCTCCTGCTTAGATAGCGAAGAGGAAGTTGCTTCAGAACAATCTGAGCACCAGTGTGGAGCTTTCCGTGACTCTCTTTATAGTTTCTCCTCATTTGACAGCAGCGAATTGCTTCCCCCTATTAAATTGACAGCTAGCTATACTTTTCTCTTGGTTTCGGTGAAGGTGTATGATCATGAGAGCTTTCAATTCTATGAATAATAAAAAGAATCTAAGAAGAGAACTGAGGGGCTGAGAAAGCTCCATCGGTAAAGTGCTTGCTGTGCAAGCATGAAGACCGGAGTTTAGATCCCCAACACACACATGCAAAGCCGCGCATGCGCCTGAAACCCAGAGTTGGGGAGGCAGATGGGAAGATCCCCAGTGCCTGCTGGCCAACCGGTCTGGCTCAGTCATTGAGCTCCTGGTTCAGTGGGAAGTGCTGTCTCAGATAAATCAGGTAGAAAGCAATAGAGGAAGACTGTAACATAGATCTCTGGCCTCAGCAGGAAAGCCCATCTGTGTGCACCCGCACCCCCCCAAACACACACACACACACACACACACACACAGAAAGCATTTGAGTAAGTGCTAGCTCTTATTTAAAATACTTCTCTTTGCTGAATATGCCAGGATAAGTAAAAGATGCCTTAATATTTAATTTTTGTATTGTTGGAGACAGTGAGTTTAATTCCTATTATCTGCTATTGTGATGTTTTGTTGGTAACTAAGCTTTCAGTGAATTCACCATACAACACATTTCAAATCCTGGGAGTGGTGCTTGATTTTTGTGGGTGGTTTGCTTTTTGGTGGGTTTTTTTGTTTGCTTGTTTTTATAGTGACTTTTCAAATATCCAAATATCCCAACCTCTGTGTCTTTTTAATAATATACATACAAGTCTTTCACATGCTGAACTGCTGTAATTGCTTGGTTTTTAAAAATCATTAAGAAAGGAAACTTGCTGTAGTTTTATCTGTGTATGTGAGTTACGGTGACTATGTGTGCTTCCATGTTGTTAGAATTCCAAGTTATACTGCGTAGTGTAGACCAACAATTAACTTTTAAGGAATTACTGTAGCATAAGAGCAGACTAAGATGTATCCATGAATTCCCCCAGTTACCCTTGGCGTCAGTGAACTTGTAGAGCTGTGAAGTATAGTACAGTGAAAGTGTGTGCTGGCATTGAGAGAGCTGACTCCTCCCGTTTTGTTTCCTGGATTAATATTAAACTTGGAAGACACCCACTATGACATCTTTTATTTTCAAGGTTCTGTTCATGTAGGTTTTAATGTCATCTTGATTTTTTTTTTAAGAAACGTCTTGTAATGGGAGAAAAACGGTGTTTTGTTCTGTTTTAAAGACTGTTACACTGGTCAGAGTTATTGTGGTTCTTAGATTGCAAAGACTTATGCTAGTTATATGCCAATGAACTATTTTTACTCTTTTTCTATGAATTGTACAAATCTCTGGGGCAGATGGTGGCGGTGGTGCCTCCTGTTACCTTCTGTGAACACTTGAACACTTTCATCAACATTGCCAACATCTGATAATGCTCCCAGTATATTTTCTCAGAGTCTATTTACTTAAAATTGTATGGAATGACATGACTGATAAGCAATAAAGTCTGAATCACAGTGGTTTCTTTTCTATATGTTTTGTTTCAAGTCACTTCAGAAAGACTTGCTAACTTTATAAATCCACGTTATAATCTTATGGTATGTGATATGTGTTCCTGCTGACAACTATCCAAGTGTCGTATTCAAAGACGAAATATTCCAAAAGAGCTCAGAAGAAAATAAGGGGTTCCCAAAATAAGTACTGGGAATTACAATCTGGAAGTTAAAGACAGCTTGCACTTCCTCAACTGCACAGTCTCAGAAGAAAAGAGACCAAGTCCAGGGTCAGCCGAATGTTGGAAGTTACGCTCAAATCTGTCTGTCTGTGTTTATCGGCTGAGACCCCTTCTCCAGCCAGGGCCCTGAGGAAGAGCATCTTAAACTTATGTATACTCTCAGGACATGCTGTCTCCAAAAGTTACTGCGCAGCTGGATTCAAGCCCGAATCCTACCCTCTGGTGAAATGACCCCACAGGCTCATATATGTTGGGACACCTGTTCCCCAGCCAGTGGCAGGGTTTTAGAAAGTTGTGGAACTTTTTTTAAAAGGAACCAGCCTCGCTCAAGGCAGTAGGCAGGGCTGTGGGTTCTATGTGAGGAGGCTGCCTTACTCTACCCCAGACTCTCTGCTTCGTTATCCACTGACATGAGCATGTGACCTCATGCTGTCACTGCTGAGCCTTTCCCAGGAGACTGTCCCCTAAATCATGAACCAGAGTATATTCTTCGCCGGGTGGGTATGATGGCCCATGCCTTTAACCTGAACACTCTGGAGGCAGAAGCAGGCAGATCTCTGTGAGTTTGAGGCCAGCCTGGGCTAAAAAGTGAGGGCTAGGACAGCTTGGGTGGCTAAACAGAGAAACCCTGTGTCAGAAAAAGCAAAACATAAAAATAAAGGCAGAATATATTCTTCTTAAGTTAATTTTGCCAGGCGATTGTCATTGTGATGTCAAGGTAACTAAGGCAGTATGGAAAAAACAAAAAAAAACTCACAGAAACCTCAAGCCATGTTTTAATTAAAGATGGTGCCAAGCCTGGCTAAAGGGCTCAGCGGGTAAAGGTGCTTGCAGCCAAACTCGAAACCTTTGTTCTTATCTCTGGGACCCGAATGGAAGAAAGAGAGAATCAATTCCTTTGTCTCCACATGCTCTATTGGTGTCCATCACACACACAAAAGTAAGCCAAATACTCCTTAAAAATAAAAATATTGGGCTAGAGAGATGGCTCAGTGGTTAAGAGCATTAGCTGCTATTCCAGAGGTCCTGAGTTCAAATCCCAACAACCACATGGTGGCTCACAACCATCTATAATGAGGTCTGCTGCTCTCTTCTGGCCTGTAAGCAAACATGCTGGCAGAATAGTGTATACATAATAAATCTTTAAAAACATAAAAAAAAATTAAGTGGTACCCAAATTAGGAGGGTATGCAGGCACCCAATAAAAATGAACACAAATCTATTCTGGAACAACCACCTTCAACACAGACCTCCAAAGAGCATATGGAATGCCCACTCATCCTCAGAGGTCAAGAGCAGACACACACACACTTCCCCATGAGAACCTGCCAAGAAAACTTTGAGAGAAAGAAGGGCCACCAGGATATGGGCATTGCCCACACTCTTTAAGTATTTAAATAAGGGAGTTGTGTAAATTCCAAGAAACTTAAATAGCAGCAAGGAGACTCACAGAACTTGTCAGTGAAAAACAGTCATTGAAATTAAAGTGCAGTAGAAATGGGTTAATACCCTGCTCAGTAAACTAATGCTAACTCTGTAATTTTGGTTCCCCCCCCCCTTTTTTGATTTCAGGATTAAAATGTCATTCATTTCTTCACAGGTCACAACAATTTAGATTAACTGGGTTCATCTAGTCCCAAGCTCTGCTGGAGACTGGATATATACTCAAACCTAACCTTTGCTTCTAAGGACAAGTATGACGAGTGTTTCCCAGGACTGAAAGGTAGTCAGTATAACAAGAATTGGGTGTGGTGGTTCATGCCTTCTGGCCCTAGAATATGAGAGGCATAGGCAGGAGGATCGTGGAGAGCCTGAGGCCAGCCTGGGCTACCGAGAGCCTGTCTTAAAAAAGAAGAAGAGGAAGGAGAAGCAGCAGCTAAAAACTCATGCCATTGGTAGAGATTATTTTGTTTTCACCATTGAATTTTCATAAAGTAAAAACAAGAATGATAACCCTGGGAAGCTATGTTCCAGAATTCAGTGTTTTCTGTTATGCCACAGAATCCAGGGTGTTGTTCAAACTGCAATTGATGATCCATTCCTGAGGGAAGAATGGCCTTCTTTCTTTCTTTCTCTCTCTCTTTCTTTCTTTCTTTCTCTTCTTTTTTTTTTTTTAATGGAATGGCAGGCTAGAACTTAGCAGAAAATAACATCGTGACCTCTACCTTTTATGGGGTGCTTTCTTCCTTATAGAAACTTGTTTGGGTTTCTGTGCTGGGGTGGGGGTGGGCGTGGCTGAGTCACAATGTCCAAGTTATTAGGGAAGCAGAGGTACAAATAAGAATCTGAAAGCCACTGACCATGAATGAAGGCACAAAGACAATGTGCCTGCAAAGATTTATCACTCCTAATGGCCACGTAAGGAAAGCCACAAACACCCACCTCAGAGGAACTGTTTGAGTCAGAGTGGGATTGTGAATGACTTTGTAAACAGAACTAAGAAAATCCTTGTGTGATGACTTGTGCTGATGTGAGGAGTCCTCGAGGTCATCTAGGGCAATGACAGATGAGTACTTTGAATTGCTCTCCGTCTCTTACTGGTGAGGACCAAAATCAGGAAATGGATTTCGTTTTCCCACCATTTCCACGTGCTGAATATCCTGGGCGAATCAAGTTTCTAAGATAATTTGTGCTAATGGGCCAAAGGCAGAGATGAAGCAGACAGGCAGTGGCCCCACCCTGCCTGTTTTTCCTCTGTGATTTCAGGTTCCTGGGATGCAGGCAGAGATACCGCAAGCTTTCCTGTAGCTATTGCTAGACCTGGTCGCCTCCCCAGGGTTTAGCCTGCTGAGCATCTATCCTTGACTTCCAAACAGCACTCTCTGGGCTGTCCTTTCTCCTTTCATTAAAAAAAACAAATGTTACTTTAGAGAAGTAGGGAAATACCCACGAGAAAGAGAGGCACGCATTAAAAACTTCAAAAACAGATTGTTTTGAAGAGGGGGTGGAAATTGAGCCTAGGGCCTCTGGCAGTTGCTACTGAGGTACATCCACAGAGCATAGAGAAAACACATTCTGCACCCCGGTTAGTTTATTAGAAATTAACCTAAAGCTGTGTGAAATTGTAAGACCTTGTTCAAGCCTCAGCACCCCCCCCCCCAGAAAAGAAGTAGTAGTAAGTAGTCTTAAAAGAGGAGGCTGGACAGACAGGTAGTGGTTAAGAAAGAACACTTGCTGCTTTTGCAGAGGACCTGTGTTGCGTTCCTAGCACCCATATTGGGTAGCCTGTAAAGCTAGTTCTGGGGCCTCTGCTACCCTCTTCTGGACTCCAGGGGCACCTGCATGCATGTGGTACATATATGTGCCCTCAGGCACCTAACACAATTGAATATAAATCCTTTTTTTTAAAAATTAAGTTGAAAGTTCTAATAGTATGTGTCAAAGTTTTAATATTTCTGTAACATAGATATTCAGGGAGGGAGATGCCTCGGCCACTAAGAATGTTTACAGAGGACCCAAGAGGACCCAACACCCCATCAGACAGTTCACAACCACCTGTAACTCCAGTGCCAAGAAACCTTACACACTCTTTGGGCCTGCATATGTACCTGTACCACATCATAGGCACGTAAATAAGTTTTTTTTTAAAGAGAGATTTTCACTGATGGTAGTGTGAGAGCCAAAGTTACATTTTAAGTTTTAATTACTATGCCTAAGAGATCCATGAAACAAAAATGCCCGTGACTTGCAAGCCCCTTGCCCAAGGACAGATAGTTCCTGAAATGATGGAGGCTGTTGCTCATGGGAGATAGCAGACCACCTGTTTTCACTTCCCCTAAACAAGTTTGTTTGGCCCATCTGCACCAGATGCGCTCAATCGCATGTGAGTGGGAGGTTCACAGGCAGGAAATACATCAGGATGTACACTTGCCCCTGATTGGATGTAGACTAGAGGTACATCAGGATGTATGCTTGCCTCTGATTGGATCTGATAGGAAATGCAATGACCTATAGGTTTTCCTTCTTTACCACTGTAAACTGTGATTCTGGGCCATTTCCCAGGAACCTGGGTTTGAACCTGGCCAGAGCCTATCCACCTGGCCAATATTTAATTAAAACTTGTTTTGTATTTTGTCTTTAAATTGTGATAGTGGTCTTAGTCCTTTGTTTTGTTTTGTTTTGTGAGACTCTGTGGCTTTGGAGGCTGTCCTGGAACTAGCTCTTGTAGACCAGGCTGGCCTTGAACTCACAGAGATCCACCTGCCTCTGCCTCCCAAGTGCTGGGACTAAAGGCGTGTGCCACCACTGCCCGGCTGGTCTTATTCTTGACCAGTGAGATTAACAGTGAGACTGCAAGAGACTGAGCCTTCTCATGTGCAGATTGAACATTTTTCTCTTGGGCACAACAGTGCTTCATTCTCCTGCATATACTGCAAGGTGAAACTGGAGGACCCACAATTGTTTTGCAGAGGACCAAGGCGTCCTGGTTGCCTGTGGCCAGAGATCCCTTCAGTGGACGCACACAGTTGACCCCATATTCTTTGACTGTCTTGTGGTCTCAGAATCTTCTCTCCATTTCTAAAACTAATGCAGTGACTTTTAAAGTATGAAAGCAATTAAAAACTGCCAAAACTCTTTCTTCTCTTATTCTTTTTCTGGAGATCTACAGCTCATCCGTTTTCCATTTCACTTGACAAATGCCTTCCAGCATCTGCTTAAAAATTAACTTTTGAATTGATGAATGTAAGTTATTTTCATTAAAATCCCCAGGATAACAGAGAAGTTGTGAAGCCTGGTTTATAGGAAGGTCCATCTGCTAACACAGAGCCTAATCCCCACCAT